AAAACAGTCTCTCTACCTTTGTGTCAGTTTTACTTATTTGAACGCTTATCTGTGTCTGGAACACGCCATACATCGGCCAAAGTGCAATCCCAGAAGGGCACTGTCTTCGACAGAACCGTGGTTATCGGAAGTGACCACTTAGCACAAACAAGCCATCGAGTGAAGGATCACAGCCTTATCGCACTCCATGCACTAAAGAACGACCGTTTACCCACTGATTTACTTCCCACAAACATGGCACTTCCTTATGGCATCCTTACAGACTGGTAAGCGAACCGATAAAGACAAGATTTGTTCGCATCTGAATACATATGTTTTTATGTTCTAATACGCATATTTCGAAATCTAAAACACTCATTTATTATGCTCCAATGACACTGAGCGCATTGTACAATGATGGGTGCACTAACAATGTATTGTGATTATCTAAAAGCAAGCGCGGTAGTGAAGAAATATCTAATGAGTGAGCAAACTGATTTTTCTTGTGTACTCTAATCGCCTAACAACCGAAGTTGAATGACGGCCTAGCTGAGTTCTGGGAGCACTTGCTCGCACCAATATGTCAAGCAGATGTCCAAATGAAAGTCTTGTAATCGATTAGGCGAAATGGAAAATGATATAGTGACCTTGAATTTCGGATAAAAACCTCGTTGCTTGGTGATTGGTCAATCTGACATGGGACCAGAATAGAACTGTCGGTTGACACGACTGATCACTACGCTATTTTTGGACTCGTGTGTGGGCTGTGCAGCCGATACTTTAGCATTTACCGATATATATATATATATATATATATATATATATATATAAATATATATATATATATATAGGTATTGACCAAACTCGTGCAACATCCTGATTTTCATTACCTTTGTTTCTCTCAATGCTTCGTTTTCCCAGCATTATTCATGGATGATTGAATATGGCATTGCCCCACATCAGACCCAAATATCTGACAGAATAGCCACTTATGTCACTGCTTCTATTAACCACATGCCATTAAAATGTACGATTCCGCGATTTTGACGACGGTTACTGGTGCATCAGTTGTAAGATAACAAAGTCACAGTAGAAAACGTAACTCTAATTTACTTATTCAAATGACTCATAGACTTTATACAGGCAATGTACTTTCATCTCGTCCATGTTCCATTTGCTCCTCTTCATTTTCGAGCACTGCACGCAGTCGCTTTAGCGTGGAATCCACCAAATTAACTGCCAAACAGAATTTGCCAGTTTCTTCTAGTATATACCACACACCCTCATCACTGGCAAGGTAGCAAGGTAGCTAACTTATCCCTGTTTCTGATAGAGGAAAACGTTTTCGATTAAATTAAAATCCCAGCTGCAGCGCGGTAATAGAACGAATTCTACATTGAACTTGACCCCTCTATAAAGTGCATAAGTGTGAAAAAAATATTTATTTAGATCTAACCGTTTTCCACCACCAACCTGTACGCTTTTTAATGCTCTTGTTGTTACATCCAGTCTATCCAAGTGCTGATGGCACTCCCGCTACACAGTCGAAGTTCACTGGGCCTGCCTGAGACTCACAGCTGTAAAAAAGGTGTGGTTTCTCGCTCGGGTTAGCTGGGCAAGCACTGAACACTGAGTACCTTGAATAAAATAAGAATCATCGATATCCATATCTGTGGTGATCTTGCAACGAGTACACACGCACCATCAATACGGTCTCCAGGTAGCCAATCAGCAAACAGATTTCCCGACCAATCCGGTGGTCTCACGTGGCACCAATCGGATTGACTCAAGGCAACATGGCAAACGAATGAGCCATACCGCTGTCGACTGGACATTGAAGATTGGGCCAATGATTGTTTGATGCTTGTGATAGTCATTTGCATGATTTTCCCAATACAATTAATTGTATCCACAGCTCGTCTTGTTCGTCGACGAACGTCCATTTTCTTCGTGGACCCGAATAAAGAGCGTTAATTCACTTCCAGAAAGATCAGGCCTGGAATAATTTTGAACCAAACATAAGCTTACTAGTCATTAATTATCACATGTTTTAGTTGTGATACGATTAATGATTTTGACAAATGAGTAACGTGACTGTCTGAAAGCATCATCCCGAACTCTGCATTATATTTTTGTTCGCATATATTTTAGTGAGACCTAATGAGAATTATTCGCTCCTATTCCGAGGGTTTCGGTAGCCCGGGGGAGGGGAGGGCGTTTACTCCACCCCTCCTCTGATCGGGGTTGTAAATACGTAACGCCATCCTCGAAGCGTAGATGCTGAAACATTTCGCCTCCCAACTACAACCTATCGTTTCTTCTGACTTCAGTCACTCTTTATTTTCCTCAAAGTGATTGTACAAGGCATCAAGATCCGGGTCGTTCTGTCGTGTTTTCTCCCACTTTTGGATTCTTGTAAAATAACTGCTGATGTAAGCATTAAAAACATCAACTGGATTTTATCATTTCAGTCAGAATTTGGCTTACTTTGTCGCGCAAAAATGTTTTTTTTTCTTTCAGGTAAGTAAAATAGTTTCCTAACAAACTCGATAATAATCGATTCTTTCATTGCGCTATACTCATTTGATCAATTTCTCGCCTGAGGGGCACTTCATATCCTTCCTTTGCTTTCTACTGCTTATTAAAAGCCCCCAACGGAACCGTGAACAGCCCGATTCTAACGAACTGGACAACGGCAGTGGTACCAAACGTGACCGATATATTACAACAGAATCAGACGATCATTGTCTCCACCAGGACCCCTATTCACGTCGCAACCGCGAACCCCGGTGGCACCGTAGAGCGCACTACTCCGTCGAGCATTCCAAACTGGAATATCAGTTGGTTCGCCCCGAAACCGGACGGTTGCAGTCGGACCAATCGTATGGCCTGTGAAGAGTGGCAACTGGTACAACAAGTTGAGCAGCACGTGTTCACCTCGTTCGTGATCATCTATCTGGCGGCCCATGCAATCTTCATATTTTGGTTGTATTTCGATGTAAGTTGGCCCTCTGTTTCGGCGAACTAAGAGCTGTGTGCGGCAGAAAAATGCTCAGATTTGCGTCATGAAGTGAAATACTCTTGTGCCACTCACAAGTTGAATTCATCACTTATGCATGGGGAGGATGCTCACTTGGATGATGATAATCTAACCCAATTAAATCGATCTTATCTGTTATCTATATAAGAGTTGTAACAAGGATACTTATTTTTCAGTCTCTAGAGACCCTTCCTACTGAACCGAAACGCTAGGTAGCTCAACATAGCGCATTACGTCACAATAGCAAAATATACATGCAAAGCGTTTTGCTCCAAGAGACTTTAAAATGAACGTACATTGCTACGATGGGAATACGAGTTGCAGTTTATATATATATATATATATATATATATATATATATATATATATTTCACATACACTACATACATCAAAATGTGCCAAAAGTATCGCGGTACAATGATA